TTGTCCGTTATCAGATCTAATTGATGCTACTTCTATCCTCACATCTTGTACCTCTTCCTTCATCTGTAGCATCATCTCCCACATTTAACGCAATACTGCTGCTGGAGTGAGCTCTTCCTTCTTGTCCGTCACATTGTGAATGACATTATCATTCTATTGTGATAAGCTCATAACCTGTTGAACTAAATCGTTGGCCCGATACGCTACTTCTGCGCAAAATGCTGTAATTGACAGATAGGAGGGAAGGACCTGGTAGTTTGAAGGTAAGTTTTCAAGTGAATGTATCCTGCTTTAAGCTATGTAATTATGCAAATAGTTGGGAGTTTCATAGCTCCTTCTGGTTTACTCAGGTAAAGACTTAACTTGTTTCCAGCATCCACCACCACGTCACGTCTACACATTTGTAGCATTAAATGTATACTCGGCAAAGAAGAATGACCAACTTGCTTTTTTATGTGAGACGCTGTTGCTGTCCACAATGACGCACGATTTGTATCATCGGTTTGAAACCAAGCAGATGCGACCTGAACTCGACCAATGGCAGCTGCCTTCTTTTAATAAAGATAATAATCGTTTGCAGCGGCTTTTGGTTGACCAGGCTCAAACGTGATTACGCGTTTACGCCCATTAGTATCTTATTGAAAGCAAAGCACAGCCTATTGCAAAGGCGGAACCGTCATATATGATGAGGAATAGCCGCTCTCGATTCAAGATAGCCAGAACACAGGACACACATAACAGCTTAATGGCTACCTCATTCGCTGCACCCCAATACTATTTTTCAGAAGAGATATAATCGGGGTCGTGTCATGTTGGCATAGTTTGCATTGTGCTGGAAGAAGAAATTGTCCAGGCCAAGCCTTTCTCATGCCATTTGTAGCCGAGACACCTTTTTTTGGCCGATATACAATGACATTGATCTTGCTGGGTCTGTTTGCGAGCCCCGCTATTCAATGAAGCCATCCAGAACGGGGATCTCGTCGACCTTAAGAACACACCTGTCGATGTTAACGGAAACCTATATTGAGCACACACAGGAGCACCGCTTGCAAGTGTATCAAGGGATTCCCCACAATCGACTTCCCGTGATCTGCCCGACTATGGACAAATCTCCTGTTGGAAAATAGGGTTGTTTATAGCTATGTGGCCTAAAACGCTATGTCACAAGATAGGTTAAGGTCGCTGGTGCATCCGACAGTCCCTTTGGCATAACTAGCCACCCCCGGAGCATCTCACCAGGAATATTTAACGCAATAAGAGGGATATCGCTATCTCTAATTAGCAGATGATATTGACCATCAACTTGGTCGAAGACATTATAAAGTGCAGCCGGTCATGCTGCTTTGCAGCGCATCCTTTCTAGAATCCGCGTTTGCAGCAAATGGTGACCAACGTTAATTATTATGCTTATTTTATGCATGCACAATCTACCACTTGTTGCAGGTCTTTCTGACCCAGAAAGACAGTCGCGCCGATTGTCTTCATTTCTCTCTCTCTCTGAAAAATGCTTGTTAGGGTTGTCGCACTGCTACCTTTAGTAACATGGATTGCCATGAGACGCAATCCTCGGCTTCAAAATTAAATACGCATTCTTCCTTATGTGCGAAACACGCGCGACCGGATTTTTGGCACCAGGTCGTGAAATATCCTTGAGAAACAATATAAAAATTTCCGTAGAATGCTTGAGAAAAGTGGTCCCTTTCTTCGCACTGAGTGCTCTACAAGCGTCCCCAATGACCGTTTCATCCATGATGGATACTGAGATCAGCTTTTTTCAAGTGTTCTCGCCGTGTCGGTAATCATATCGAATTTGGTCTCTACAATGCCTCCCCGTCCCATCTACAGGTATCAACAGTCGCGTGTCTTTCGTTATCTGCACATAACGCCTGGCTCTATCAGGACTTTTTTCGGTTACAAAAAAAGCGATCTGTCAATATGTCATGCGACTCTAATCGCTCTAAGCAAGCGTCGTCCATTCAGGGCTGATTCCTGTTGACCATGACTCCCCTGAGGCTTGAATGGTCCCAGCACGAGGTAAACGATCGTTTTTCACCCTCATTAGGCGCAGTGCGATCCATTGGGACTTGACATCTTAATGTAAGGGTCTAGTGTCCACCGTTGCGTGGGAGCCCGACTCTGCATAGATTGAATGACGCATGCAAGGCACAGACGTTGTCACACTCTCACATATAAAACATCTGCGACTACGGTGGAGCCACCCAACAGCTGGAAGATCGACCTATTCCCTCTCCACATTGAGACAAATAGCTTCAGGTGCGCTCGTAAAGCATTCTTTCCCTGCGCTTGCTTCTGCCCTAGCGGCATGAAAGTTGTATTCACATTGAATGAGCCGCCCACTTTTCCTCGAAAGCGGGTGTGTGTGCGAAGAAGGTTTTGATGCAAGCGACACCAGGTTGAAGATTTTCATGAAGATGGAAACTGTAAAAGCCTCCGAGAGAGCGTCAGATGCTGTTGCGACAATTAGATTTATCAAATTCTGGACATAGTGCGTTAATTCTCGCTTCTCTTTAAGCGCTGCCAAGGGCTTTAAGTGCACCAGATACCCCTGATTAAACGGGGCGAACAGATTTGTCCAAACTTCGTTTAGACTGACACATTTCACGTTATTGTCTATTTTTACCTTGGAGATTACAAGAGCGAATCCATGGCTATATCAATTTACATTACGCAGATGGAGTTATTTTCTCTGTCTTGGACCCCAAACGCCTGAAAGGTCATAACCAGCCGCCTCGCGGTAGGAATCAACTATTTCTATACCGGCGGCCGGTCGGGGTGAGTTACTCACGCAAAAATTGTACCTTTCCGGAGAAGCAGAAGGGTACCTTACCAGTGCATTTTCAAAGCTGGTGAGCACATCCAGGAAAGTGATCACCGCTTCATACCCTTTCGCTGCCAAAATAGTGATCCTATTACACTCAAGCTACATACAAGCTTTTACTTCTGCAGGCCAAGTACACAAACATTTCATGTTCTATTCTCGCAGAAGGTGCTGTCTTCTTATGACTTGGACGTGGGATTGATTACAAGTACCATTAAGTGCAACGGGGTTGTCGTGCGCTTTGAAGGGAATTTTTGACTCTCAGAATCCGAGTTAAAAACCGCACATTGATTAGAATCGTGCGCTCCTACCAGGGAGATACTAGTGAATATGCAATACAATTGCACATTGTAACTTGAATTTTATAAAATTTGCACATGTTGAATTCAATACAGCTGTATTATATGTGTAAGGGTAAAGTGCAATAGCCGCCTCGTTACGACAGACGACATGTCGCTAAAAAAGTCACTACTATTGCGAGCACCGCAAAAACCCAGAAATGTTGTGGATGGTAATCAAGAAGATTTTTAAATTGTATACCGCGAAAGTGCAGCGGGGCTGCTGTAGCTAAGCGCTTGAGGAAGCGTACCTTAGGTCACCGACCTTTCGTTCTTTATAAGAACCAAGTATGAGTTAGCGGATGGCAATTCGCTTACTCGAAGGGTTTTCATTGCCTTCCCAAGGCTAAATTGACTCTTTGGTTTCAATTCAAAACTGATTTTTATTTATTTTTCTATCCAATTATAAAAGTTTAGATTTAACTATGTACATATATATATACACTAAATATATATAGTAAAATCTAATTACATGCATAAATACTGGCTACCTAGCCCCGTAACCGTATTCTTGTTTGGATGTGGTCACACCATGCACATCTCGTATGACACACACACCCCTGTTATCAGGGTTCGTGTAAGCCCGCTACAGAAAGTCACCCGATAAAACAGCTCGTAAAATCATCGTGATACTGTTACATTCAGAGTTCAAAGACAGAAAGGATTGCAATTTTGTAACATAAGCATCTTTCTTGGTAGCTGAGCGTTTAAAGTTGATGATAAAATGTGACGGGTCACACGGCACCTTGCACAGAGGAAGGTTAACTTCCAAGAGTATACAAACTCTAAGTGAACGGCAGTTCACAGATCCTTGGTCAGAGGAACGTTAACCAAATTTAGTTAGTTTTAAGACTGAATATATTTATAGGTGTTCCTTAATGTTTTCCTATTACATGACTCTCAAGCCATGTACCCATCAAGTAGCTGAGGTTGCGTAGAAGTAGCGTATCGGGCCACCGATTTAGTTCAACAGTAGTATCATTGATGCTGTGTGTAATATAGGCGATTAATTGAATCAACCAATTCTTATAAGTTTACATACAGCCAAGTATCACGTGCACCATATCGAAGACTTTTGAAATACAATTGCGTATCTTAAACCATCGGTACGTTTCTGTCAAATCATCCTGAATTGTGGTTCGTATCAAGCAACCTTCTTACTTGAGCACGCTTCATATTCGATTAGACAGCTCTAAAAAAGTCTAAATTTAAGTTGTTACTTCTTGATATAAGGCAAAGTTTAGGAAAAAAAACTTACAATAGTCAACAGGTAGATGATTGCATCAGCTTAAAATCGCATCTCTCGAATAGTATCGATTATCAAGAATAGGCCGTCGAGAATGCTGTGCACTTGTCACAACTTTGCAGAATATATGACATCTAATTCTTTGTCAAGTAGGAACAACTGAGGACCAAACTTAAAAAAATGACGTCAACGTACGCCTCTATCAATTTTTTCCGTATACATGTCTGCATCTGTGCAAGTTTCGTATTCTACACTAGCCCTTGAGATGCGTTAGGCGTGATGGGTTGCATTTTGACTGGCACAGCAACGATTTCTGGATGCGACGAGTCGGCTCGACGATACGAGTCAGAGCTCTGCCGTCTGCGTAAGTTTTCATCGCCTGTGCAGCACGAGAAGCCACGGTCTCCACAGCTATGTCGCGAGCATACTTGACATACCGGGGAGCAAAGTACCTCGATACATGTGATGTAGCAACCAGCGCAGACCGCGCTGCAGCACGTGCCACAACAGTCGTCGTCCATTGTCCGATTCCCAATTTTGGGAAACGTTAAATTGTTAAATGTTAATTACTGCTGAAACAACTGCTTAAGGAATCAATCACAAGTTACAGCCCTTTATTTATATGTAGTGCAGCTCTTTGGCCTGTACTTTATGACGACGCCAGAGGAGTAGCCCTCCGCCCAATTCAAGGACGCCCACAACAATTAGTACGATGAGGGCCGGCAAGAAAGTTTTGACAAACGTCAGCGTGCTTTTAAACTTGTCTAAGATACTGTCCTTGGCCTCAGCTGCCTCTTCTACCCAGTAGGTAGGCAAAATCACCTCCGTTTGCAAAGTAGGCCAGACCAAGTCACTCATAGACGCATTCGATACAGCACTTGATCCCGCTACAGCAAACGAGATCTGAGAACGTTTTCGCACTCTCAAAGTTAGTCCCGTGCCGGCTTCAATATCAAGAAACGTGGTATATGCCTTGCGAAAACTATCAACAAGACTACCATCCGACTCGTACATAATATTAGCCGTCATGACTGTACCTTCAGAATTAATCATTTCCACAGCTTCGAGCAACGATGTGTCACTGTAGATGAAAAAGGGACCGGATAAATACGTAAGAAAACCGGTAATGAAACTGAGTTGATGTAACCCATCCAATGGAATCCCTGTTCCAATCGCGGCATTCTGGTCGGTATAATTAAATGTATTACTTGGGGTACCAAAGCGGTGCAGCGAGACGCCATTCAAGTCCACTTTAGTGTTCATGTTTGCGAATGTAACGGAGCTTTTGATTGCACCGGAGTATAAGGCCAATGAGTCGGCAGTTGTGTGTTTGGCCATACCGTGGATAGTAACACCTCCCGGTTTCAGCGCTGCGCCATCGGTACCCGAGACATTATAGCACGTGATGTTAGCAACGGGAGACGCACAATTAGCATAGCGTGAGAACGCGTTGAGTTCAGCTAGTGTCGGGTTTCGACGTTCATTGAGATCAGCCCATATAGGTGCGACGGTAAAGCCATTATACTCGACATATGTCCCGATTTTAGAGTCGTCGTCGCATCCTGTGCGTTTAACGTGACGCTGAAGTGTTGATGCGTTTGGTGCGACGCGCGAATAATCCAACCCAGAGCTCTCTACTGTACCGGGAAGAGGAGCAGCACAGAGGCCAATGGTTTCACATAAACGACACGTTGTAGCTACAAAGCTCGTGGCCTCTGTCTCGCCATATTTGGCGGCGTAGATAGACTCAATTAGACCACACGTGACAGTATTGACAGCCATGAGAGCAGCGCCTTGAGCGCATTGAGTACAGGCTGTGGCGATATTTAAACAGCTGCTCCCACTACAAGACGAGCACATAGCGTTCATGCTGGTTTGACATGTATTAATATAGTTGGCACCAAGCAGGAGACCAGCCAACATACTTGGGTAACCCAAGGCCCATTGTGTAGCCAAACGTTTAACAAAGAGACCATTGAACGCAAATCCAGAGAGATCCAAGTGTGCTATTGCATTAGGACCAGATGTTAAAAATTGTAGAATGCTTGTGTTGGTGGTTACCGTCTTCATAGCCACTGGATCCAGCGAATTTAGGCCATTCAACCAACGCATCATTTGTTCACCAGACTCGTTTACAATTGCAGTAATCTCACTGAGAGAGGCATTCAAGGCAAACGACTGGGCTGCAATTGTAGCGAGTAAATTGAATTCACCGCCTGTGGCCGCGATAGCGCTGAAGTATCCAGTATCAAAGCTTATGATCTCATCTGTGTCAGAGCATCCAGCGCAGCTTTTGTCAGTCTCGTAGGTGTGGTAGGTATAAGTTTTGTAAGAAACGGTTGACGCATCATTTGACAAGACTACGTCCAATTTGATCTCGCGTCGTCGGTAGACGTAAGGACCCATTTCTTGGACTTGTAACTTGGTGTTCGTAGCGAGAAATTCCTCGGCGTTGGTGGCATTAAACATGTACATGGACACGTAGTACGGCGAGCAATCGTCACAGTCACCGAACGGATCCACGTAATTTTCTTTCAAAACCTCGGATGTGGTACAATACACGATGTCGTCCTCTAGAGCTGCACCGACGATTGCAGGAACTGCTGTACCATACAAGATACTACCAAGAACAGACAAAGAACCCATGACAATGAGCGTGATTGCCCAAGCCTTTTGACTGCAACAGCGTCGACGTTGAAGCGACTCGTCTTCATTTTTGGCTACGACATTTGGAGACGATTTTTCGAACGGTTCGAATGCCGTAACGCTCTTAGTTCTCGGACTCTCTGTCTTCATATTGTTTAAGAAAAGTGAGGAATAACCGTCGATGGCAGGAAGAAAATGCGCAAGTGATGACCGACAAAGGAGACGATATTTAAGAGAAACTTGAAATTGCTTAAGATCTAATGTAAGGATTCTAGTCTCGGGTCATCATGAAGCACATCATAATTGAGAACATAGCAAAACCTATTGCAGAGGTATGGCTGCAGTGTATACAAGAATACTGATGTATCCTCGTCAATTAGACTTCCGTACATATTCGGACAAAGTGTAGAGTCAGCAGGCGTCGTTGGGTTACGGGTACGACTGACGTGCAATTTGTGAGTGTGTAATACTGGTGCATACAGTGGTATTAGTTAGGTCCAATACGTCTATGTACAACTGTATCACAACCTTCTCTTTTTTTCTATATACACGTCACCAAAATATATGTTTTCATATAAGACATTACTATTTTCAAATGTATTATTAAAATGCAGGTGTATACTTGTATGCCAAGTACTTTTTGTCTACAAATGCACATCATCGTGCTTGCCATTTTATATGGTGGCCAAGAAACAATCACTAGCGTGCGTCCTTGAGTTTCTTTAATGCTGCCAGTGCTGGTAGCTTGACGTCATTTGTAGTGTCTAGTAGATGCAAAAAATTGGCCTGAAGGTGCGTCGACTTTTTAAGGACTAGCTCTGTCTGTGCTAATTGCTCTTTTGCGCTCCGTAATTCCTCAGTTAAAGCATTAAACCGCTGTTGGTCAAACTTGGCCTTGATCATGTGCTTTTGTAAGCGGCGCGTATACACGTAGTGATAGATATTTTCATATTCGTATTCCTGATTCGTGATGCTCCACCAAGCGTAACCAATAATTGAGACACCAAAGCCTGTAAAATACGTCACTGGTTCCATGATATCCCATGAAAAATGAATAAATGACAACCAAAAATAAAGTCCAAAAGCACCGACAAGTGAGGTTGAAAGTCCGTACGAAATGCGGTTAGCTTGTCGCATTGCTGTTGTTTCGAGTTCGCGACGAAGATTCGCTAGTGCTACATGCTCGGGTTCTAGTGCTTGGATTTTTAACAATAATGTTGCTCGCTGTTGCTGAAAAAGCTGTGAAGACAACGGTAACAACCCAATCGATTCTAGATACGAATCGAGAATACTGCGTGGTTGTAAGAAAACAGAATGGGTTAAATCTTCCTCGTCCGATTTACCAAAGTAAAAGAGTAGTCCAGATTGATGAAAAGCTTGGAGAACTTCTGGTGCTTGTTTTTTTGGAATGCCGCGCTCCCGACACATGGTAATAAAGTCTGGATAACTTATTTTCCACTTACCGAGACGTTCTAAATCACTGCGTAGCAAGATAATGGCACTTTTCTGAGCGACAGACCGCACATCAAGATCGCCATCATCTGCTAAACTCTGGTACGCACTGCCAGTAAAAACTGGAGCTCGAACCGGTAGAACTTGGTCGTTAAGTAAGAGCTCAAAGTCGTCAGTTAGAACATTTTGCAATGTATCTTCAGGCTGAAACTCTTCACCTCTCGTCGATCGAATGGTTACACTTTGGATTGACTTGTCTTCAGCTTCGATCTGGGTGATGATATCGGCTACAGTGGTTTCTATTTAGTCGACCGCACTGCAAGTTAATATCTTATTTATTATATTAGCAGAAATAATACAATAATACCTGGAGGGATACTGAACACGCGCTCTTCGTCGAATCCGTTAAGTGGTAGTGGAACTGCTAGCGTGCATGTTCCGTTGTGGTATTTGAGTTCGATGGCACGAGCTTTTCCGTACTGAAGTGGAGAGGTGGTAGTAATTGCACGTGATGATATATTATAGCGAGCACGCGATATCCGGCGGACAGGGATCATGGTGGAAAAGAAGACACGACGCCACATGCTGCACGAAGGCAGGATACCTTGCGAAGTACGTACTCAAGCAATCGTCTATTTGTAAGCAAACTGCTACCGGTTTTGTGATGGCTATTTAGATCAGTGAGATCTTGATACCGGTATCTAAAATGCCACTTTAAATATATTCTCTTACATAAGTAACCCTGTATTTTGTAATATAGCTCTGGTAAGACATGAAGAGTAATTTTCTCGCTTCTGTGCACCAGTAATAGTGTTGTTTCTCCATGTTTTATGTCTACGCTGTTAGAAGGCCGAAGCCACTCACTGCCAATAAGCTTTCGCAACTATTGTTGGACAGGAGCTGTGGAAGGTTAGCTAAGGGCTTGGATTGGCAAAATCACATGTTGTTCTACAATTTGAAGAGAAGTGTCATAAGCAATGGCGTCATTCAACAAACGAAGGCTCTGTTTGTAGCTGATTCTAATTAAGGTACCTGATTCTGATTTGTCATATTTCAGTGCCGTACCTTGGAACTTGCGCAAGAGTGCGTCCAAATGAACGAGCGTCAATGTATCAATGATCCATCAAGTCTTAACAAATGATGAATGACATTATCAAATCAAGAATGGAAATATTGATCTGCATATTCCCTAATTTTTTAATTTACGATACTAAAAATGTCGATAATTTACGATACTAGATCTGTCCATTTTTTATATAGCTTAAGTAACTAACCCAGAAAGTGTCATCCGCACGATTTGCAGCTGCAAAATGAAGTTGTAAAAACTGAAGCAAGCGGAAAATGGAATAGAGTTTTGAATTTCCGCTGCATAGCACAAACTGTTCAAAGTCGAACAGTTTTCCTGTATCTTGCAGAATAGGCATAAACGTCGAGTTCTTGACAGCCATTTGGAAAAGTCAATCATGCTAATCTCCGGACTCTAAATCCAATCTCAACATAAAATCAAGAGAAAATTGCGTTGTGTCTCTCTTTCGTTTTTGTGTGGGTGTTAGCCTTGTTTGCTTATTTAAGGTGTTATGGTGAGTGTGCAGCAGGATGCAAAATATGATGTGGGTATATGTTGGGCCCCTATTCTAGCCACTCAATGTATATACCCTATTGACTCCAGCCTATCAGCAACTAGAATTGTCATAATCAGAGCCGTACCATGTGTTGCCATCAGCCTGTCCAGCATGAATTCTGTTATGTACCCAACTTAAAGCAAGCACTATGAATCCACTCGGGGTGAATTAACAAACACAACTTATCGAAATTGACATGTACGATAAGCAGTTCTTCACTTCGAGCATTGCGTTTCATCAAAAAGGCCATCATTCATTCGTACGGCAAACGTAGATTTCTTTCACCAAAATAAAAAAGTACACAATGAGCCACAGAAGAAAATTAACGACCGCAGTTTGTTTAGTGTCTCTGTTCTGAGTGACGAGTATTCTAGCTGCTGGTAAGAAACATCAAAGTATCTTTTACTGCAGTAGAGTGCTGCAAACACAATGCTCTGGGAGTGGCCAAAACGCCACGCGAACTGTCTAACACACCACAGACGCTCAATCGTCTGGTGATATAGCTGATCAAGCCACATCATGCTTATGCACATACTAACTCGACGGTGTATTTGTACATCGCCATGCAGAGCAATGGAAGTCGGATGTAGATAACAATAAACACATGCAGGCAGTGTTAACACCTCATCATGCCATACGGAAGATACAAACAAGTATGTATTTGGCTTCAACACATTTCCCATTCTGGGTTACTTCCTAGGAGGCAGAACCGATATATTGGTCCGGCGATGATAAGGATTGTTGTAGATTAGTCAGTCTCTCTGTTCCGAAAGAGCTTGAGGTAGTGGCTTGGCTTTACTGACTACACAGTGCAAACTATGCCGATGGGTAGACCTCGCACCTCCTTAGAAAGGATGTCAAATGTTGGTGGGGCGCTGTCGAAGAGGAAGTTTTTAAGCGGTGATAGAAGATATCATGTATTCCCCGATCCTGATTCCTTAAAATCCAGATCATCCATAATGTCGTCTGTGACGTTGCAGTATGCACCGCTTCACTCCAAGCAGATGCTAATGGACATGAGCGGATGATGAAGTCGGAATCATGTCAGCCTAAAGCTGCTGAGATGCGACACAGTGATCACGTGAAGGAGGTACGCCTCCGTCACGCTTAAGTTGCACCTGCTTGGCTCCAATCCGTTTGTGATCTCAACGGATTTGCGATGTTGTTCGTGCCGACGTCGTCGCCATATCTCTTACAAAAGATGATAGATGGCTAGTCTTCTGTATCTAAAACATATTTGTGGCAAGGTATAAAACAGGCCGGCTGTATATGGAGGCGGATGCGCAATCGCGTCACACCCCGCTTTAGATTATGCGATAGATACGGCGCTTATTAAGGCGGTGTATCGTACAGTATCACGGCCAAATGCAACATGTGTTGCATTGCTAAAAGCTTTGGGAATCATTGAGAACGCAGATGTTGCTTTATCTAACAACACGGTTTTATATCTGCAACCCAATCCTTTTTCTCAAGGCTTGCTGTATTACAACACTGACTTACATGTCACTCAGCGTAAAATGATAATTCACGATAAGGACCTCAAAAACGCACTATTGCACAAGGCATGTGATACCGCTTTGAGTGGCCACTTTAAAAGCAAGAAGGTACAACTTGGTGAGTATTGATGGCCCAACATGAAAACGTGGGAAAGAACACGTGTGCGCGCGAGAGAAAACTGTCAACAGACTAGATGGACGCAACATGTGGTGGCACCTTTAGCTAGTTTGCCAATACCGAGGAGATGTTGGCCTTCAATAGGTATAGACTTTTTATCTGGTAGTTCAACAGACGTAACCGTCTTTTGATCTCTGTGGATTGCTGACTCATCAAGCTGCTATAAACATCTATGCAGCTAGTTGGAATATAGATATGCTCTTTGCGACAAAGTTTTGCCGACATGGCAAACTAATAGTCATTGTATTGGAGTGAGATACACGATATACAAAAAAATTTCAGCAGATATTGTTCAAGGTTCTCAGCACCAGATTTGAGCATGTCAATAGGTGACCATCTACAAATAGGAGATCAGACGGATAGCTCGAATTGCGTTGTGCTGGATATTATTTAAAGTACTCGCGTCAAAATTCCACGATGCTGCGCAGAATTTCGCAGTGCATGCCTCGTCAGGCTTTGTCTTATTTTCAATAAATATCATAATAAACTCCATGGTGCCCTTAACAACGCCATAAAGTCGCTTTAGCCGCATCGAAGAGACCTTTCATTCATGTTTGACTTGTTGGAATCAGCCCATCTACACTTTGCAACAATATCACTAGTTTTATGTCGATGAAATTGGGCGTCATGCGTAGGGTGTGCGACGCTTTGACTGAGTGCTTAGACAAACACAAGCAGAACGCCGATACCAGCGGCAGGCGGATAAAACACTCATACGATGTGGGGTAATGTATGATTGGGCGCAATTTTTTCACTACACGTACAGTGTCTGTGGAGTATAAGACTGAGCTGTGACTGCGGTACCTCGGACCGATTACAGTCGTGGTGGGGATAGGATAAAGTATTTTTCTAGATGTCCGAAGAGAGTGCGAACAGATCCAAAGTTTTATTTGGGCTTACTGAAGCAATACCACAATTTTGCTGTAAAGCGCTCTACTGTAATCGGAGCAGCAGTTCCACCATTCCATATAGCCTGTCCATTCTTAACTTCAAAGCAGCGACTCAATTTTGTGTCGCTGGATGTATCCCATGTCAGACACTTAAATGATAAAGCTTTGACAGCAAAGTCGGGATCAGGATCGCTCCCAACCATGATGTACGCTGCGATAGCCACCAGAACCGAGAAAGCTCACTAGAAATAGTAGCTGGGGCGAAGACATTAGCCGGTACTGGGAGATGAGCAAGGAATATTAAAGCTTTGAAGTTTAACGGGCCTGTTACACTAGTGTAATTAACCATCTTTAGTGAAGTGGAAGGGGTACTGTCAATCAGATTACTCATGAACGATCGATATCCTGGTACGGCAAAATTGCTCTGGTGACGTTATAGCTTGTGACTACAAGCATCCTTGGCCTACATTCTCCTTGGAAAAGAGCCAGGATTGTCTGCCTCCGCGCTCCTTCCACTTGTGGGTGGCAACCGAACTAGCGGTGAGAATTTTCGTCGTTGATTGCTGTTACAGCTGCATCATGGAAACGAGCAGGACTGCAGCCAGCAAAAATTTGAGATGATGGATTGTCACTTTGCCGTCTGTCGTTCTTGGTCCAGGTTACTTTTGTTGGTAACGAAATAGACATACTTGCGGTTTTCATGAAGGGGTGTTTAACCACTTCCTGCCGATAGATAAAGTACAAAGTTTGGAGTCCGAGCAGCGGTGAGGCTACGAGCAGTAAGCGTCTCATCCTTGAGAGACGGATCTGCCGTGTTGCTAAATGATTGAAGCGTCACTACAACCGTTATAGTCGGAGAATACCTCGGCATCCCTAACGAGAATGAGATCAGTGCGTCAGTCGAAAGGACGACGCATTTCTGTCCACTGGTTAAGCAGATTCGACTTGGTGCACGGGAGGGGACTTCTAATGCAATTTTGCTTTGAAAAATAGCGCAGTGGTTACTCGAGAAGCATTCGCTTTTGCATAGTGTCTTAAGAAAATTGCTAAGCCCCCAGTATAGTCCATATCTTAGTATGAATGTAGTCGGTAAAAATTGTAATCATGTCTAGTAACTCTTTTGATATATGTATGTATCAAATGCAAATGTATACAATTGTCCAAAATTTCCATCGCGCATTGATGTAATTTCAGACATATAAGTACCGAAATATTGTGTATCATGAAGATGATGAAAGCACGAGAAGAAGGCATTCGTAGTACAAGTGGGCTGCTGGCTGAACGCCATATCATAAAAACTCAGTTATCAGAAATTATCAATATATAAAAATTATTTATGTAGTTTAGGATAGCAGAGAAAACTTGACGCATGGTTACGGAAAAGGATTTCGGGTTTGCTTCAGATTGGAGTCAACAAACCGTACCTCTCTACCCTTGTTAAAATAGACTCGTTTAATGAGACTTTCCTGGGTGTAAAGTGCACGGCATCTCTTTTGCGGAGGCAGGTCACCACGACATCTGCGGATTACAACAACAACACTTTGTCGCTCGAAGGGCGACTCATATACTAGAAAATGCACATTAGTAAGGATTGGATGTAGGTAGAGCAATTTAAATCAAAATTCATCACGTCATTTGTCAGACGATTATCACTTGTAAAATTTATCGTGCGTACAGCCATGACGCACTGTGAACGTGTAATTCGTACCGACGGTCGGCTTTTTACACGACGAGGTGCAAAGGCACGGGTAAAGTGCAACATGATGCGAGATGCCTAAAAATTATTGCCCGCCGAAGAATGTGCAGACTGGTACTTGCACATATGCACCGTGCCCTTAGTATAGATAAAAGAGGTGCGCACATCCCGACACCCTGCTAGGGCACAAAAAACCTTTAACTTATGTCTCCCCCACGGGCCTACATCGTATAATTCATCACCGCTTTTTGCATGAAGCGCTCTCTTACGAAGAGTCGATGATGAATGCCGCTATCATTACACCCGCGTAATGCGGAGTTTACAACCGCTATACTCATGCTCACAAACCATCTGGAGAATATATTGTAAAACTGAACATTGACGGTGGCTAAACTTCTTAAAATATAAGCTGATAAATGTTAATGTTTGGTTCAGATAACTGCTCATATCTAAATTACACAAATGAACCTTATTAACAAGCAATAGATCCGCCTCGTGTGAAATTTGGACACTTCGGTGGACAGGCCACAAGCTCTTTTCGATAAGACAGATCTATTTGCTATGTTATGATGCTATAAAACCACATACAGCTAGCTCAACTGGTAAAATGTGCGCTTCGTAAAATAAGGCTACTTTTTTCTTTATTGACTTTACAAACGTCCTTCATTGCAAGAAGCTACGCTTTTTATCCACAACGCAAAGGGTTTGCTGTGAGTCTAACTTATGAATATCAGACTCATCAAGCTAATGCTTAGGATGTACTCGTATGTCTCATCCAAGAGAACAGTCGAGTGCTTCTCAGGCAGCTGGATACCAAGTTCTCTCATAGTGACATATATTCAGAGTTATTTCTAGTCTAAACGAAAATGAAAATATTACTCAATTTTGATTCTTTACTGCATGACGTGAGCCTAATCGCTCGATTCCCTTCGGAACTTTCTTACAGTCTCATCGGCCTCGGGTAGCACAGATACTTTGGTACTTTGGAATTTTGCACAATAATGCTTTCAACATAATACGGTACGTTTCCTCGTTACACTCTAACAACCATTACGTGGACCTCAGTGTGGGTCGGTTTTTTAAGATATTGCTCAAAAAAAATTAAATGATTGGCAAGTAATTACTGCAGATATACCCATTCCTTAACTTGCATTTTACATTGCTTGTGTCTTAAGGTATGCACTGGAACTCTTGTCTAACCACATTCGGTGAGTCAACAAACCCCCGAGATGCAACAGACGACAGTAAGATTTTTTTTTGGCAAGAAAGCGGAAGTGTTATCAGTTGAGATTGGGCACAGTGAGTTTCCGTCCCCAAAAGCAGGTCGTTTGCCCTCGTTTAAAGCATGCGACAAAGCCGCTCTCAAAGAAATAGGTATTCCCCATAATCCGCGCTTCTAATATGCAAAATGGCGAAATTTCTACTTAGTTTTTGGGCGAAAAGTGTTATGCAACTTCTCCGTGCAACTCACGGCAATGTCCAGTGTGTTATTTAACTGGGCTTGAATCAGGATCATAAATGATTGATTGTGAATGCTGGAGCACAAAACGGTTTGAGGTAATTCATCACAAGTTGTCCGCCTCTCCGTAATAGACTTCTACACGTCTATAGGTGCGGACCTTCGCCCATTCAATGCGTGAAAAAATTGCATTCTGTTCCCGCGGGTGACAGTTCCGCCGGCACCTGGAGTAGCAACAGTTGAGTAACTTGGTTCTCTATGGGGTCCATAGTAAATGATATGAAACTGCCACAAGTTAATGCAATTGTTTTGTGCCATCGTTAAAAAAGCGTGTCATTTTCTTCTGTACGAGTCAGCATCATTAATGCAAACGATTTACGGGATTAGCGATGTCAAGGTAGAAGCTTATCACCTTAAGTTCTTGCCGTCAACAGTCTTGCTTGGCCTTGAGATTCTGGTATAAGTGCCGGCCAGAAGTCTCATGGACGGGCCGTGATTGTTTTATTCTCCGCTATACGAATTTCACGGCTTTATAAAGGTTGTGCTGGAAAACAGTCTGATTGATTGCAAAGTGTTCACTGCTATGGTCCTATTTGATAGTTTATTATACCAACTGCTCACGAGTAACAATCGCGGTGTTTTCTCAAAAAGGATACTTAAGGACGGCTGGTTATGTTCCATCGACTGTTCGACTGTCCTACACATCAGTGACGCTCGATCGTGATGAAGCTGTCCTCTGTTTGAACCGCATTGTGTTTATACATAGACCTGAAGATATGTTAATATTCGAATGATCACGAGGAACATTCCCGTTAACACTAGCGAGCACCGCTCGGCTGTATGCGCTTTACTTAGATGCTAGTTTTCTTTCGACAAGTGTGTATCTGACGACTGCTAGATACCCCTTTTACGATACCCCATTGTGAACTATGGTTTTGGGTAGATCCCTCGAAAAATCATCGCTATCATAGATGATTCGTACTCTGCATCCAAATGAGATGTGCTTCAATGTGATAAGTGAAGACACCACTTAGTGTAAGCAAAAATGTTTTGGGTGTCATTTAAAGCTATCCAACTTCAACATGATGACGAGTGCAAGTAAAGAAAAGCCTATGGCAAAGACTGAACCGTCGCAGACGACGTGAATTTGCATATGCAAATTTGGAACCACCAGGATCAGAGAGTTTTGAAGCTTTTCTTTACATTCTTGAGGGCCAGTTACTCTATTGCATTCGCACCTTGCCTTGCCATGGGACCATGCCTCGACTTTTTGGCACCAATTTGTCCATGTCAACCTCGGCACGCCCCGAAATGGACGGTCAAACGGAGCGCGTGAATCGAGTTCTGGAGGACGTACTGCGTAGTTACGCGACGTCGTTCAAAATGTGGAGTGGTTGTCCTCCTCTGTAGAGTTTGTAGTGAGAAACTCCACGCAGGTCTCGACAGGTCATTCACCATTTAATGTGAACAATGGTTTTCATCCTACAGTACCCGCTTCCATAATGGAAGAGGTCTCCACTTTAAGTGGGGGAGGAACTATGGCTATAGAGCCACAGTCAGACTTGAATAATGTCGAAGAGTGAAAAGCGAATTTTGGTTCAATGAGACCTCTAGACGACATGACAAGTCATAACGAACAACACGTCAAGGACTTTATTGTGAAAAGACAAGCCGATGTTCGATTTGTTTGAGACGCAATTGCGAAAGCTCAGGATCTGCAAAATTCACAAGCATATTAAAGCGGAAGGAGAAAAAGGTATATAAGACCAATGATCATGTACTAATCAGCACGACAAATCTGCCTGAACATGCAGTGTCCAGCTTGGGAAGCAGAAAACTTCTACTAAGATTCATTTGACCGTTCAAGGTGTTGAAATTCAACGGTGATGAGTATACATTGGCCATCTCTGCACAAATGCGCCTACACTCTACATTATATGTGGGTAGGCTGATATTGTATAATACAAGAGGATCGGCCGATCTTAGTCTACCTTTGGTAAATGATCGAGCTGATGAAGTAGTTTCTCCATTCGTCCACAAAGAGCTACCAACGCTTCACCCTAAAGATTCATCTCGGCATAGAAGCGCTGAAGGAAATCGAAGAATTGCTCCTTCACTAATTCCAACGCTTAAAATTGAGAATGGTACTCACCACAAAGTACCTCGAGAACAGAACCCGCATCTTCAATGCAGCGCAACAGGTGTTTGCGAGACCTCTCGCGAGATTTCTCTTCCTATCGGAGTCGAACAAGTTCATCAAGAACCTGTTGAAAGGTAGTTCAAAATGAGGCTCCAAAGCCGAGTATTGGGTGGATCAATCCGTTAAAACCTCGATATTGACTTCTGCTATGCAACAAAGCTCAAAAGGCTCTTGCGGTGATCTTCAGGCGTCGAACAACGCTGCTGCAATAGCTCATTTTCCTCGCGATGAGCGCATTTTCAACTCCAGAGTCGCTCAATCATTTCCATGTTCAGCTCCATCTCTGCTAATATACTCTCGTGATAGCATCGCTAGGTAGACGAGACGATTATCGATCGAAATGTCATCGTGCAAAGCAGCAATTGAACCATCAAGGCTTCTACAGAGCTCGGTGACGCGGCTATCCATCGGGCTCGGACACGTGGGAACCTCGTCAGGCTATAGAGTCTGATGACCCCTACGTGGCCCGCATCTACGAGAGTCGATTATCGTGTTGCTAGAGGCGACACTATGACGACCAGAGCTTGGTTTTGCTCGGTCGTGACTAGGAGTCCTGTTTTCGCCCACTCGGGGAAGCAGACGCTCATCGTTCTCAAGGCGGACAAATGTCCACCAGGATTTAAGCTTAGCTGCGATGGGCTGGGGCAAATCATAACCATTGTTGATCCGACGCCAACGAAAAAAACGTTCCCTGTAGAACCTCTTTTCTCCATTTCGGTTGAGAATGGAGGAAATGTCAAAGATTTCTGGAACCGTTTTTTGCCGATTAGGACGAAGAATCCTTTTTTATGTTGGCTTGTTCATTTGATTGCTTCGTTGTTGGTCGAAAAGAGAGCTGCTCCAGAAGGTCTGCAAAAGTCACAAAATACTTTTGATTTTTAAGGAGCGGTGATGTTATAGGCTACATATAGCCATTACATAAAGGTACCTTCAGTACGCATTGTGAGAACTTACAAAGAAGACTACAATATGGCGTTCACAAACGCACACGGGTTTTCTTTTATGAAGTCACAAACATTTTGTGTGATATATAATGCTGGTTCCTGCTTGGGGATCAGTACTGGTGACGCGACCGACGTGTCTCTCTGTCTTAAAACTGGGTGACGTAAGCCAGTCAATTCTACTGGATACTTTCCACGAAAATTATAGTTCAAGCCTTCGAAGTTCAAGCTCCAAACACCCAGAATCTTTTATAAGTTAGAGCTGAGTTTCAACCTCGGTACACCCTATTCTTAAAAACCAGAAACCCAAGGTATTATTAGTAAAACCTCTAGGAGCTATTGGGGTGTTTTGGATGTATCGAGGAACCATAATCATTTTTGTATCCTGCTGCAAATTTCCCTTAAAAGTCTAAAGTCGTTCTTCTTCCCTCCAAGTCGAAACTGTGCTTCTCCCTCCATGTCAGAAATCGCTTCCTCGTTGCACAAGCGTGTGTGTTGTTTCTAAGGGAATGTTTGTGAGCAGCGCCCTCTTACAGTCATACGCTGAGCGAGAAACGCTGGGGCTAGAAACAAAAGTAACAAAAGTAAAAAACAACTAAATCAGCATTTGCCGGTGACAGACAAATCATATTTTTTTACTTTGACTAAAACGTACCCATACATGTAGTGTTCGTACGTTCTAAGACGGAGTCGCGTAGAACAAAGAATGTGCTTTATTGGCTTAAACCATACCACGAGTTCTCTTTGTAGCAATATGACATGAAACATTATGATGAAAGCAAAGCAACGGCTGAACCATCAGCTGTCGCCGACCTACCTTCTGATCTAGGGAAGCGATCCGGTTCTGCGGCGCATGGGGGACTTAAAGCACTCCTTGCGATCGCAGAGCCAAATCGCTCGTCGGGATTGTGGCTCTACAGCCAATAATCTTTAAGAATCGACATTTTCCGTAATCTAGATGGTTCATATGAGCCACTAAATGAAGAGTCGTCCTCTTCCGGCACTGCTTGATAAGAATGGTGTTTTCAATTTCTCGGGAAAGGTCATTAACTGTAACCAGTGTCTAGCCAAGTGGAAGAAATGTTTGCATCTCAAAAGGCATTAAATTAGGAAACTTCACTTCAGCAATGTTTCTTGCGCCAATTTTTTATTAATGACTTGATGCGCTAGGTATCTTCAGCTACTGAAAAGTAGAGCCGGTGGATTGTGCCCTTCATCAACGGGTTCTACTCCTTGCATCCAGGTAATTTCAAAATCGGTCTTATCCATGGCGGATGATGACACTAGGTACTTACTTTTGTTGTTAACCGTTTCATTTTGGTGACTTGACTGCTTTGTAATTCACTTCATACATCCTCCGTGTTTACTTCTCGAATGTATTGGAGCTTTGAACGGGGATAATGAGGAAGTGCTCACAGCCCCAAGAGCAGTTCCGGCTACACCATCTCACATTTGTTTTTTGGTAAATTCTCTACAGTACCTCTGCCGAAAAGGATGGGTCCAATCTACGGTAGTGCTTATATTTTTCTATCGCGACAAGAGCGGATCCCCTGAACTACGTTTGAGCATGGTGCTGCTTACAAACACCCATCTCCACTGGCACCGACACATGATCCCACGACATTGAGCCGATCACACCTACCTTTTAACCGCCAGCTTACAGCTATAACCAAATGGCTCAGCAGTGATACACTTTGAGGACCGAGATATACGTTTGCAATCTTTTGCCTTGTCTCGAGATCTCGGCTCACTGCACTTCCATTCTCCCAAGCTTTACTCTGGGCACACGGCAACGGTCTTGATTATCAGATTGCTTCTGCTTTTTTGGACGTGGTGAGCCCACAGAATCTATTGGAGTCCCACGAGAACTGTGTATGGTACCTAATGCTTCGGATTAAATACAACAATTTATTAACATCATGCCATACCTTAATTGACATTTGAGGTCTACCGAGGCGCAATTTTGAAAGTATGACAACATTTTACGCGACCAAGTATTAAAAGAAAGGTAAAAAAAAGCCTCAAAACTATTTTTATCGAGAGGCGCACTGATATTGCATCAGCATTTTGCATCCTTTATGGTGTCTTCTTCCTAGCAGCTGCGCGCCGTTCGTAATCGCATGACGATTTTGAAACGATCAGATCTTTCATGGCCTTAAAAAGCCCGGAGTGGTGGTATCAGCAGCTAACAATCATGTATTGTGATCCCACCTCTCGTAGAAAGGATCAGTTTATTAGAGCTGGTTTTCATAGCACTCAACCTTTACATGGTACAACAAGAAATTTTGATGTCATTCCGAGAAGGGTTTGGCGGGCGAGGTTAATATTGGTTTATTGAGAGAGTAGGAGACACGCAGGGTGTAGATTCCACAGGTGGCATATCAACAAGCGTTAGTGTAATATTTATGAAATCTGACGACGGTAACGACGCTTGATCCTCAACCTATTATCGTAGACTTCGTAAAAAAAATCTAATAATACGTCCAGTTAAACCGGCATTGGATTGACTGAGCAAGACAGTCTCGCTTTGGTCAGCGACACCATTACCGAGAAAAGAAAACTAAGTTGTTTCGTGACAATATTTTTAATGGCATGCTTTGCAAAGGTTTTGTCCCGGATCAAGCTCCGCGCCTTACAATTACATTCTGGCAAATTTTCTCAGGGTGCTTGGCTCTGGATGGGACAAGTCCAATGGAGATCAGTTATATATCACTAGCATTCAGCATGTAATATCATCAAATCACTTCGATGAACAACCGCGGTGCAGAATTAAAATGGTCCAGTCGTTGACTTTGCATTGATTGACGCAGCACAAGGATTCTACAGATTTGAAATTATTTTATAAAGTAATATTTATTCCGTGTCCTCTAACACCGACACAACGTGGCTACACCTGGGTGCGAAGGGGTTGTTGATACGAATCGACTTGTTGATATCAGCTCGACTTAACTTTGACGTAATTGAACTCGAAGAAATTAAGCGTCTTGCGCCTGTATCACAATATAAATAAAGATAGAAAGAAGCAGCATACTTGTAACTGGGTTACACATACCCTGATTACAGGGGGGCGTCACACAGATGGGCATGGTGTGACCACACCCAAACAAGAATACGGCACGGGGCTAGATAGCCAGTAGTTATACATGTATTTAAGTTTTTCTATACATATTTAGAAAAATCTATGCGATAAAATTAGGCGGCTTTCCCGCAGATAAAACTAAATAAAGTCAGTTTTGGAATAAAGACTAAATTAGCCTTGGGTTAAGGCAATAATTACTCTTGGAGTTTGCGGATTGCGATTCGCTAAACTCGTTTATGCTTTAAGTACAGAACGAAAGGTTGGTTATCTAACTTACGTTTCCTCAAAGCGCAAAGCTACGGCAGCTTCGCTGTAGTTGGTAGCACTTGTAGTCAATCTACACATGAGCCGTCTAGACTGATCTTCTGTGAGTAGAACAGTATTCTTCTTTGCCCCAGGGCATGCAGGACGAGCTTAAAATGCTGATGTCCTTGCTTGGCCCTGAGGGCGTGCAACACCTTGCTGCGCAAGTTCCCGAGGCAATCGGTGCGCGTCTAGAGGCTTTTTCAAATTAAGAAATCCCGCTGCTAGTGCACCTGCAGCAGAAGACGTCTGCATCATTTGTGTCTATGACGCCACCGTCAGTGACGGATGATTATCTCCGCCCTAATCCGCTCATGATGAGCGTTGTCTTTGATGGGATGGATGGAGAGAACCTCCAGCTCTGGGTGAGAAAGGTCGAGATTCCATCGCATCCACCATGCTCCAGACCGAGCAATAGCGCGTAGCACTAGCCATCTCAAAGTTCGGTGGTCGAGCGCGGGAATCGGCACTGACGTGCGGCATTTCGGTCAAAGCTGCGCTTTTCTCCTGGGCGGAGCAAAATTTGCAGCTCGCACTGGTGTTCATGCCGCCTAATCAGGCATATCGCGTGCGATCGCTTTTTCTTGCCGCCCGACAGGGCAACAAGGAATTGGTGGCTTTGTTCGAGAGATGCGCACTCTCATTGCCGGGATGGCAGCAGATCCCCTTCCGGAGGCGGTCACA